GGGAGAGAAACATCAATGTGTGGTTGCCTCTCATGCGCCCCCTACTGGGGACCTGACCCACAACCCAGGCATGTGCCCTGACTGGGAATCGAACTGGCGATCCTTTGGATCATAGGACTGTGCTTGATCTACTGAGTTACACCAGCCAGGGCTCTAAGACCAGGTTTTAAAAAGTCAAGTAACATCCTGGAGCATAGCTATAGGATCACTAAATCACAAGGTTGAAGGGGACCCTGAAAAGCCATTTCTTCGTAATCCTTAAGAAAACAAGATGTAGGGGACTTCCGCCTAGATGGAGGCATAGGTGGATATGCTGTGCCTTCTCACACAACCAAGTTTAGAGACAACTAAATATTAGCAACAGAAAACACAGCCAGAACACAGAAAATTGAACTTTTCGGAAGTCTGTTAACAACAAATTCTTCAGTCTGACCGGTAAGGGGCAAATCCAGCAGCTGGTGGAGCGGGGTTGCACAGGAAAACTCGGTCAGACAGACTCAGGCGCGTGGAATCCAGGCGCAGGGTTGGACCTAGTGAGTGACTGAGTGAGCGACTAAGCGAGCGACCGCGGGGGAAACAGCGAGGGAGCTGGACTGAGGGTTGACTGTGGTCGTGCATTTGTGTGCGGATAGACAAGCGAGGGAGTGGGTGATTGGACCGGAACCCAGTGGGTCCCCACAGCAAGCAACAGGGAGGGCGCCGCCATTTCCCTGCTCTGACCCCATCTCCACATACAGTGTCATAACCCAGCGACTCTGAGTGGCCCGGCCCTGGTGAACCACCTAAGGTGCTGCTCCTCACTCAGCTGTGAGAAACAGAAAAGGGGGTCGCCATTTTCCCGCTCTGACCATGACCCCACATACAGCATCACAACCCAGTGACCTGGGAGTCCAAGGCGCCGCTCCTCACACTTAAAGGGCACGAACAGACCAAAAATGGCTCAAGAGGATCTCAAAGCCCCAGAGCCTATAAATCTAAGCGATGAAGAAATAGCAAAACTCTCAGACACACAGTTTAAAACACTGGTGATCAGGATCCTCACAGAACTGGTTGATTATAGTCACAAATTAGACAAATATATGAAGGCGAAACTAATTGAAATGAATGGAATTGCACAGGAAACCAATAGTAATGGAAAGGAAACTGGGACTCAAATCAATGGAGTGGACCAGAAGAAAGCAAATAATGGCCAAACAGAAAAGAGTCAAGAAGCAAGAATTCAAAGAAATGAGGAGAGTCTTAGGAACCTCCAGGACATCTTTAAATGCTCCAACATCCGAATTATAGGGGTACCAGAAGGGGGAAAGGCACAGCCACCAGTGGAAAACTTATTTGAACAAATAATAAAGGAGAATTTCCCCAATCTGGCAAAGGAAATAGACTTCCAGGAAATCCAGGAAGCTCAGAGAGTCCCAAAGAAGTTGGACCCAAGGAGGAACACACCAAGGCACATCATCATTACATTAGCCAAAGTTAAAATGAAGGAGAGAATCCTAGAAGCAGCAAGAGATAAGGTGACAGTCACCTACAAAGGAGTCCCCATCAGACTGTCAGCAGATTTCTCAAAAGAGACCTTACAGGCAAGAAGGGGCTGGAAAGAGGTATTCCAAGTCATGAAATCCAAAGACCTACAACCAAGATTGCTCTATCCAGCAAAACTTTCATTTAGAAAGGAAGGACAGATAAAGTGCTTCTCAGATAAGATCAAATTCAAGGAGTTCATCATCACCAAGCCCTTATTATATGAAATGTTAAAGGGACTTACCGAAGAAAAAGAAGTTAAAGAAACATGAACAGTGAAAGGACAGCAAACTCACAGTTATTACACAACCACACCTAAAACAAAAGCAAACTAACAGGACAGCTAGATCAGGAGTGGAAACATAGAAATGAAGATCTCAAGGAGGGTTAGCAACAGGGGAGTGGGAAGAGGAGAAGGGGGGAGAAGGTACAGAAAATAAGTAGCAAAGACGGTAGATAGAAAATAGATGGGGGGCAAGAATAGCATGGGAAATATAGAATCTAAAGGACTTGAGACACATGATCATAAACTAAAGGGGGGTAATGGTGGGGACGGGGGATAGGGTGGAGGGGAATGAAGGGGGGGAATAGAACAACTGTAACAGCATAATCAATAAAAAACAAAACAAACAAAAAAAGAAAACAAGATGCAGGAAAAGGGGGCTAGAGGTATAAATTAAAGTCTCAAAGTTTGAAATGCATAAGTGGAGGTTGATAAGGGAAACACTCAAGAGCTGACAGTGGCTGCTGAGAACCGAAGTACTTTCTTTTTTTTTTTTTTGATTATATGTTATTGAGACCCCAAATACTTTCAATTTAAATGGCAGCTTAGCAGCCATTTGATGGAAGTATGTTAATATTTCCTTCATCTTAAAGAGCATGTAATGTTACTAACAGTAATAATAATTATGATAGTTGACCTTTACTGAGTGCTTATTATATGTCAAGCATTGTGCACAGTATATTATTTAATCTTTATTGTAATGCTGTGAGGTAGATACTATAATTATCCCCATTTTACAGTTGACAAAACTGAGGTATTGATAGGTCAAATAACTTGCTCAAGGTCACACAGCTGGCAAGTGGCAGAGCAAGGGTTCAAACCCAAGTAGTCTGTCCTTCAGGCCTGTGTTAAAAACTAAGCAAGGTATGATTTGGTATGATTTCTGAACAAATAGCCCTCTGACGTTCTGGTGAGAAAACCTATCCAAATTTTCTAGGCATGCTATTGGCCTCAGTGTAACCTTTGGGCCTGTAACAGTGATTTGGATTTTTTCCTTTCTTAATACTAGGCCTGTTTTGCTCCACATTATGGTTGAATATTTAAGCACTGAAGATTATTTCGTAGGCACAGACTTATATTTAAGTGTGGGGATTTAAAACTAACCTGATATAATCTATCATTTAATTTTCTTGGTGTCAGATCAGATCTGGCTTCCAGGTTTTTCCTGGGACATACAACTATACAGTTCATATTTCCATAAACTAGTAATACTTAAGCCAATCAGATTATCTAGTCACTCTGGACTATAAGAGGTTGTGACTCAGGACCACTATATGGAGCTTTAAAACAATATACAATATTTCAGCTTAAATTCTATTAAAATGAAATAATAAAGAAAAACTAAATTAAAAACCCATTACTTTATAAATGCTTATGAGAAATACATTAATAAAGATTTTTAAGTAATTTAACAGACAACACTTTTTTAACAATAATATATGGCAGGCATTGTGCTATGCACAATTTAATTCTCACATCAACACTAAGGGTTAGGTACTACTAGTCTGCTTCTATGAATGAGGAAACTCAGTTTCATAGAAGATATATAAGACTACCCAAGACGAAGTAGAGAAACAGGCTTAGAAGTCAGGCAGAATGATTCTAGAGTCTGAGTTCTTAAGCACTATGCAATACCAGCTCCTATTGTAATGCCCACTGATTCTGAATTGACCCCACTAGCAATTTAAGACCCAAGGAGATCCATAGTCCAATCATTCTAGCTCTCAAAGGACTTCTGGTTGCTCATTTCAGTCATGGTTAGTTTAATGGTGTAGGATACAGTCTAGTCACCAACACTTCATGGTATGAATTAAAGTTTGATGAAACAATTCTTTGCTTCTGTTTACATATAGAACCTAAGCTCTTTTTTTCTCGACCCATTTCTCATACACATATTTTTTTTTCTTTGTGTTTGGCTGCTTGTTTGTAAACTTTCCATGTAATCATATTTCTTATTATTATTATGTATCATTGTGGTCTAACCTACCTTATCCTCATTATAACCTACAAGGACTCAAAATCTAGTCTGGAATTATGAAATTATCTTTGGGGGTGGGAGTAGTTAACTATACAAACAAATGGCACAACAAAGCAGTATCACTCTAGATCTGTTTCTCAGGTTTAATATGCTTCTGAATCAACTGGGGATCATGTTAAAATGTAGCTTCTCTAAAAATTCAGCTGGGGCCCGAGATTCTGGGATTCTTGACAACTGCTAGGTTATGCAAACCACATTTTGAGTAGCAAGGTCCCAGGTTGGCCTGATCCTGTCATACTTTTAGGTAGGACCCCAATTAAATGTATCTGAGGATATTAATATGTAGGACATTTATAAAGCACCCTGAGCTTTCTGAGATTGTAATTCCCTAATTAATGTCTTCACAAATCAATTTTTAATGGTTAATTGCTCTGACAGTCCAGGAAAATGTTTTTGTGTCTACACTAAACCCTTCAGATATTGGGCACTTTTTCTAATTTTATCTTATGTGGCAATGGAGTTATGATACCGTGATTATTCTCTTATGAATTACTTTGTTTAAAAAATATTAAAAGTGACCTGGCTGGTGTAGCTCAGTGGATTGAGCACGGGCCTGTGAACCAAAGGATTGCGGTTTGATTCCCAGCCAGGGCACATGCCTGGGTTGTAGGCCAGTTCCCAGCAGGCAATACACGAGAGGCAACCATACATTGATATTTTTCTCCCTCTCTCCTCCCCTTCCCCTTTAAAGATAAATAAAATCTTTAAAAAAAGATTAAAAGCTACTGAATGTTAACAGTAGTCTTTGATGTGTTCCCTACTATTTCCTTTTCTTCCCTTTAAGAATCTATGATCTTGGGGATGTCTTATTCAGTTCTCATTCCAGCTCCATGTTTATTTGCCTCCTCTAAGAAATCCATAAAATTAGACAAGCTGTAATCCCTTGCCAAATCCTGTTGCATTTTATTTCAATGATTTGTTTAAATGTTCAGTGACAATGTCCTACATCAGATATACCCCCAACTTGCCCATAGGGCAATAGGGAGTATACTAGGAACTACTGGTTACCCATCCTATAAAGGTCATGTTACAAAAAATGCACACTGTAGGCAGAATATAGTAAATGTCAACAGCAAAATAAATTGTGTCATACTGTTATATTTATGACCATATGGTCAATATAAAGAAACACTTGTGAGGTGATTAAAAATAGCATACCAGGCAAAATTGGTTGTCCAGCAATTCCCAGTGGTGCCATTCCAAGATTATTCATTGCTGTGGCCCATGCAGTTGGGTCAGACATAGGAAGCGTCATTGCAGTGGAATCCACATTCAGAGTTCTACTATTATCAGCTAAAAAGAAATGACAAGCAAAATAATTTATAGTACTAAGGTTTCAGTGTCTAGATTACTTATCAATGTACACTCTGGCAAACTCTTTACAGAAATTGACTGATGGTCAAGTGATGGATAAGGCCTTAATTCCAGTTCTTTATAAGGGTTAAAACAATACAACTTGCAATCACAGGAAGTCACAGAATTTGAAAACAGTTTACCAGGTGGCCTTTAAGTGTGTTTCTCTCTTGTTCTTTCCTCTCTCTCTCCTCCCTCCTCCCCTTACTCCCCCCATACCTCTTTTTCTTCCTTTCTTTCCTGTTTCTTTTTTACAAAGGCTTTTTTTAGGGCAAGTTTTAGGTTCACATTGAAGGGAAGGAATAAGGATTTCACATATAACCCAGGCCTCCATACATGTATAGCTCTTCCCATTATCAATATACCCCACTAGAGTGGTACATTTGTTACAACTGATGAACCTATATTGACACATCATAATCATCCCAAAGCCATAGTTTTAACACTTTAGGGTTCACTCTGTTATTGTACGTTCTATGAGTTTGGACAAATGTCCACCATTATAGTATCACACACAGTATTGTGAAAATACTAAAACTCCTCAGTGATCTGATTACTCATCCTTCCCCACCTCCAACCCCAGCAACTACTGATCTTTTTTACTGTCTCCACAGTTTTGCCTTTTCTAGAATGTCATATTGTTGACATCACATGGTATATGGCCCATCAGATAGGCTTTGTCACCTTAGTGATGTGCATTTAAAGTTCCTCCATGTCTTTTCATGACTTGATAGCTCATTTCTTTTTAATGTTGAATAATATTCCATTGTCTGGATATACCATGGTTTATTTATCCATTCACCTACTGAGGAGCATTGTGGTTGCTTCTTAGTTTTAGCAATTATGAATAAAACTGCTATAAACATTTATGTGCATATTTTTGTGTGGATATAAATTTTCAACTCCATTGGGTAAATACCAAGCAGTATAATCACTTGATCATGTAGTAAGAGCATGTCTAGTTTTGTGAGAAATTGTCAACCTTTCTTCCAAAGTGGCCATACTATTTTGCATTTCCACAAGCAATGAATGAGAGATCCTGCTGCTTCACACTTCTCATCAGTATATAGTGTCAGTGTTCTGGATTTTGGACAATCTTGTAGGTATGTAGTGGTATCACTGTTGTTGTAATTTGCAATTCCTTGATGATATATGATGTGGAGCTTCTTTTCATAAGCTCATTTGCCATCTGTATATGGCAAATATACAATATTCTTTGGTAGGGTACCTGTTAAAGTCTTTGGTCCAGTTTTTAATCAGGTTGTTTTCTTTTTAAGTTTTAAATGTTCTTTGTATATTTTATATAACAGTACATTGTTAGATGTGTACATTAGAAATATTTTCTCCCAGTCTGTGGCTTGTCTTTTCATTCTCTTGACATTGTCTGTCATAGAGAAGAAATTTTTAATCTTAATTAAATGTATCTTATCAAGCCTTTCTTTCGTGGATAGTGCCGTTGGTGGTATATCTAAAAAATCATCATCATACCTATGGTCACTGAGGTTTTCCCCCTTGTTATTTTCCAGGAGTTTTATAGCTTTTTTGTTTTACATTCTGGTCTTTAATTTAATTTGAGTTAATTTTTAAGAAGGGTATAAGGTCTGTGTCTAAATTCATTGTTTTTGCATGTGGATGTCAAGTTGTTCAGCAGTATTTTTTAAAAAGATTATCTTTGCTTCATTGTGTTGTATTTGATCCTTTGTCAAAGGTTAGTTGACTCTATTTATGGAGGTTTGTTTCTGGGTGCTGTATTCTGTTCTATTGACCTACTTATACATTCTTTTAACAATTGTACACTGTCTTGATAAGTGTAACTTTATAGTAAGTTTTGAAGTTGGTTAGCATCATTCCTCCAAGTTTGTTCTTTTCCTTCAATATCATGTTGGCTATTCTGGTCTTTTGCCTCTCCATATAAATTTTAGATCCAGTTTATTGATATCCACAAAATAATTTGGATTGTGATTGAAATTGCATTGAATCAACTTGGGAAGAACCGACATCTTGATAATATGGAGTCTCCTATCCATGAATATGAAATATGTCTCCATTTATTTAGCTCTTTGATTTTGCTTATCAGAGTTTATGGTTTTCTGCTTTTTTCCCAAGCATATACACCACAGGAGCTTGGGATGATTAAGAGGTTTCCCATTGTTCTCATAGTCTAGTTGCAAATGATTATTTCAGTAAAACTTCCATCCAAGGTACTATATGCATGCAAATCCCCCACAAAAATCCAAGGGCTTCCATAGTATCAATAAAAATGAAAAAATGTATTCCTGATCAAATTTCACATTGTTGAGGCAGTACTATTGAATAGAACTGAACATATAATCAACAAATATTAAATTAGCCAACTGAGTATTTTTGGAGTTAGAGGGAGACCAGAAAATAAGCAGATAGGACATATAGTCCCTGCATTCAAAGGCTATATAAACTAATTGAAGAGACCAGTGATGATGATGAAGATTTTTATTATCACTACTCTACCTCCATCCATTACTACCACTAATTATTGAACACTCTCCATATACTAGGTACTAAAGCACTCAGCATGCATTATTCTCATTTAACTATTATTTCATTTCATTTCATTAAATTTCATTTCATTTCAATCCTCCCCCAGGGATACATTTATCAATTTCAGAGAGACAGAAGGGGATGGAGAAACACTGATGTGAAAAACACTGATGTGAAAGAGATACATCAGTGTGAGGCAGAGACATGGATCAGTTGCCTTCTGTATGTGCCCCAACTGGAGATCAAATCCACAACCTAGGTATGTGGTCTGACTGGGAATGAAACCCTCAACCTTTTGGTATATGGGATGATGCTCCAACCAACTAAGACTCCTGGCCAGGGATCATGTAACTTTTAAACAACCCTATGAGATAGGGACTATTTATATCTCCATGTAATAGATGAGAGACTTTGAAAGGTCACATATATTGTCCAAGGTCATACAAGATGTTTACTTTTAGCCATTATGTTTTACTATCTCCAATTAAACAATCAGGAAAAATGAAAAACTCAAATGGTATAGATCAGAAGTGTTATTGAAGTTTAAGGAATGATGACCTACTATGGCTTGAGTAACTAGGAAAGGCTCCATGGAAAAGGCAGAATTTGAAAGAATGGATGAGATTTCTATAGAATGTGTCTTGAGTGATAGGTAGCTTTACTAGAGAGATTAAAAAAAGAGGAAGACTTCCGCCAAGATGGAGGCATAGGTGGAAGCACTGTGCCTCCTCGCACAACCAAGTTTAAAAACAACAAAGTTTTAGCAACAAAAACGCAGGCAAACCACAGAAAATTGAACTATACGGAAGTCTGACAACAACGACCCCTTCAGCCAAAATGGTAAGAGGGGCAGAGCCAGCAGCAGAACGGGGTCGAGCAGGAAAGATCCACCAGACCGACTGGGGTGCGTGACCCAGGCACGCTAGCAGCCGTAGGCGGATCCCAGGTGTGGAGTAGCGGGTGGACCCACTAAGGGTGCAAAGCGGTGGACTCACTGAGGGCTGACCACTGTTACACATTCGTGTGCAGATAAACTGGTGAAGGAGCAAGCAGTGAGACAGACCACACAGGCCCCAGTGGCGGGAAGTGGCAGAGGGGACTGCCATTGTCCCTCTCTGACCCCACCCCCACATACAGCATCACAAACCAGTGACCTGGGGGCCCCCGCCCTAAGGCTCCACTCCTCATATGTAACAGTCACAAACAGATCAAAACATGGCTCAAGAAAAACTCAGAGCCCCAGAGCCAAGAAATCTAAGTGATGAAGAAATAGCAAAACTCTCAGACGCACAGTTCAAAACACTGGTGATCAGGATCCTCACAGAACTGGTTGATTTTAGTCACAAATTAGAGGAACATATGAAGGCGAAACTAATTGAAATGAATGGAAATGCACAGGAAACCAATAGTAATGGAAAGGAAACTGGGACTCAAATCAAAGGAGTGGACCAGAAAGAGGAAAAAAATGACCAAACAGAAAAGGATGAAGAAACAAGAATTCAAAAAAATGAAGAGAGGCTTAGGAACCTTCAGGACATCTTTAAATGTTCCAACATCCGAATTATAGGGGTACCAGAGGGAGAAGAGGAACAGCCACCAGTGGAAAACTTATTTGAACAAATAATAAAGGAGAATTTCCCCAAGCTGGCAAAGGAAATAGACCTCCAGGAAATCCAGGAAGCTCAGAGAGTCCCAAAGAAGTTGGACCCAAGAAGAAACATACCAAGGCACATCATCATTACATTAGCCAAAATTAAAATGAAGGAGAGAATCCTAGAAGCAGCAAGAGATAAGGGGACTGTCACCTACAAAGGAGTTCCCATCAGACTGTCAGCTGATTTCTCAAAAGAGACCTTACAGGCAAGAAGGGGTTGGAAAGAAGTATTCCAAGTCATGAAATCCAAAGACCTACATCCAAGATTGCTCTATCCAGCAAAGCTTTAATTTAGAATGGAAGGACAGATAAAGTGCTTCTCAGATAAGATCAAATTCAAGGAGTTCATCATCACCAAGCCCTTATTATATGAAATGTTAAAGGGACTTACCTAAGAAAAAGAAGATAAAAAAGATGAATAGTGAAAAGACAGCAAACTCACAGTTATTAACAACCACACCTTAAACAAAAGCAAACTAAGAGGACAGCTAGATCAGGAGCAAACCATAGAAAGGAAGATCACATGGAGGGTTAGCAGCAGGGGAGTGGGAGGAGGAGAAGGGGGGAGAAGGTACAGAAAATAAGTAGCATAGATGGTAGGTAGAAAATAGATAGGGGGAGGGCAAGAATAGTATGGGAAATATAGGATCTAAAAAACTTGAGACACGTGGTCATAAACTAAAGGGGGGGATGGTGGGGCAGGGGGTGTGCAAGATGGAGGGGAATGAAGGGGGGAATAGAACAACTGTAATGGCATAATCAATAAAAT